CTACATTTTTGTAATAAGAATATAAATATATAAAATTTAGGAACCATACAAACAAGCGTAGAGTCAGATGCCTTGGATGAGAATATAGGTAAGTATATATATATATATATATATATATATATATATATATATATATATATATATATATATATATATATATATATATATATGCGTACGTGCATACATACATACATACATACATACATACATACATACATACATACATACATGCATGCATGCATGCATGCATGCATGCATGCATGCATGCATACATACATACATACATACATACATACATACATACATACATACATACATACATACATACATACATACATACATACATACATACATACATACATACATACATACATACATACATACATACATACATACATACATACAGTAGTGATGTTATGTTTTAAAACGTATTTGGACTTATTCATCACATAAAGATGTAGTGTCAATTTGCTCGCATATCAAGGGAGACAAATCTTTTATCGAACGGTTTTAAGTCTGGACTTAGTCATTTATTATAATATTGGTTTAAACAAGATAGACTTATGCTTCCTTATGTATGTGTGTGTATGTGTATGTGTGTGTGTATGTATACAGATGTACAGATAGACCTACACATACAGACGCAAAACATGTACACGAGCTATTATTTTAAAAAGTCGGACTTTGTTTTAATATTAAACATTGGACTGAATCATTTATCAGGTAAAGTCGACATGTATAAAGGGAGGTAAATTGTACAGAAAGTTGTACTAATTTTTCATCAGTTTCAAATATTTTCTAACAAAAACTTTGTTCACCAGTTTCATACATTAACTAAAAGATCTCACTTGCATGCTTGTTTACTAAATGATACAATGAGAAAAGAAAACAGACCTACCGACTGACAGAAATACATTGCTGTTTAAAATATTTTATATCAATAAATTTTTAAAGTTGTGTATTAGCAACTCTATATAAGTATTTTAATCAAATGATAAGTTGTCATGACGAAGAACCGAAGAAGAAAGGATTCAATGAATGTGAATAAAAAAGTATATCAGTGAGTTGTTAAAACAACATATAGACTGTACTAATACTGTAATACATACATACATACATACATACATACATACATACATACATACATACATACATACATACATACATACATACATACATACATACATACATACATACATACATACATACATACATACATACATACATACATACATACATACATACATACATACATACATACATACATACATACATACATAGTAAATTATCAACAGTTTCAAACAGTGAATTCTCTCACTAAAAAAAGTTTTCACCAGTTTCTCTTGGAGAGAACTCCGCTCCCAAATAAAATCAATGTTTGAAGCTACTTTGATAAGCACGGATGAACTGAAAGTGACGTTTGAGCAGCCAAAACAAAACTGCGTTTACTGCTGAAGAATAAAATGGACAAGATCGGAATTGGAAAAATTGCCAGTAGATATGGAGAAATAGTGGCTATCATGTTAGCCAACCACATGTTGTGCTTACAAAATGTGGTTGTTACACATCTACGCGAAGATGACGCCGACAACTCTGGGAGAGGACCCCACCGCAAAAGACGGAAGAAGAAGACAATCGGAAGAAGACGGAAGAAGTCAATCGGAAGAAGTCGGATTGAATGACAGATCATTGTCAGATATTTTGCCAAATCATAATCGGCTCGGCTCATATATATATATATATATATATATATATATATATATATAAATATATATATATATATATATATATATATATATATATATATATATATATATATATATATATATATATATATATATATATAATTGTTACAATTACATTTCCAAAACACCAAGACAATACTACTTCTGACAATTCAATACAAAATGTATTCCAATTTAGTTTAGACTTAAAATTAACTTCCACTCGATTGAAAATGAAACCATTCCATTCATAATACGTATTATTTCACCTTTTCATTGAAACGTAACCATCCACGTACCTTATCACAATTCAATACAAAATTTATTCCAATTTGGTTTAGACTAAAAATTTCCTTTCACTCGATTGAAAATGAAACCATTCCATTCATAATACGCATTCTTTCACCTTTTCATTAAAAAATTACCATCGAAGTACCTTTTTAAGTGCCTTATATAAATACGCTAAAGTGGCGCATGCATGCGTCAACTTGGCGCATTCGACTTTAGTGAAAATCCGACAATCGCCAAAGTAAACGCATCGACTTCCTCAGCTTTAGGGAAAAAATTCGACCTACGCCAAAGTAAACGCATCGACTGTCGCAGCTTCAGGGCAAAATCTGACACGAGAAGCTACCGGCAGGCTTTCTCACTTACCCATGTTAACCAAATCTGGACTCGAACTCACGCAGACAGAGGTGAGATGGCTGTTGTTATTGTAAGAACCTCTCTAAAGGTTCACGATTCCTGAAACATTATCCCATTAGCGCATATTTGCTGATAAGTTGGACACATAACCCCAAAACAATAACCAATAACCAAATTCCCTACAGTCAACAACATCAAAACTTTATTGAAACTAAACCGTAAAAAATACATTTTATATCATTATAACTATTCTTAATACTAGTTGTACCAATATTATAGTTGTGATAGCGATCTGTTTCCTATGTAATTGCAATCCCGTTAAATGCTTTATGATACGATGACAGAAACGCATAACAAATACTGAAAAAGAAACATAAATTAAAGAGAGTGTGACAAGGTGGTGGGTTCAAAACGGTAAACCAACCCCTTCTCTACGGTTCGTTGCTAGTGAATGACCTCCAGTCATATAATTTACCCAGTGTGAATGGATATAAAGAATAATACAGATCTCTGGGCAAGTATATTGAATAAATAACATAATGAGTCCCCTTTCAATGAAAAATATATAATTTAATCAATTTAACAATAGAATTTAAAATTGAAAGTAATCGATTTCTTTTACTACAAAGAAAGAAAATGTTCGAACATGTACCCAATAAAAGCAAATACAAATTTCGCTTTGCTATTAATTGTCAGTGACAGAATCATTGGTTTCATCATAGCCTACAAGTCGTGACCTTGAGTTCAACGCAGAATGACATTGTCACTTATCTTTATCCGGACATCCAATTTTCCGTTCATTCCTACTTTTCCAACCTTTATTTAATTGTCCTTGACTTGGACCATTGCTAGTCGACACTTGAAACTATTTGACGATAGTATATAGGGCTGGAATTCGGCTGTGGAAATCTGATGAATTTTTCAGTAGAATTTGGCAGGAAAAATTTGCTCAGGAAAGCTGTTTCCTTAAATAAATAAGTATCCCAGCTCAGAGGTCCACTGCTTAATTCTGTCTTAGTGACTCGCTGTCTCACTGGTTCTGTTTGCAAATAGAGACGTCCATTATATGTAACTGACCTTAATTCAGGTTCACGCTTAGCGGGAAAACATTAGCTTCCGCTGCAACTAACACGTATGTGACCGTATCTAACACCCCATGACTTCTTTACATTAAACTAATAGAGTATGGTTTTAAATTATAAATGACTTAGCAATAACGCAGATGACACAAAGTTGGCGTCTAAACAAACCTTCCAGAAATGAACAAAGTGAGAATCGTCTTTTAGCTAAACGTTATGTACGCACGAAATCCAACAGTCTGATAAAGACAAGATTCATCCAAAAAGCACCTTAAGAAATGGTCGATACCATTCAACGAAAGCCTAAAGAAGTTCGTGCTTATATCATGAACATGGGCAATACTAATGACTAGGTGGCATTCTGTTTCCTAACAGCACATGAATTGATTCGATAAGTAATGAAGGAGTATATTAGGAAGACTAAGAACGGAAAGAAATGCGATAGGAAGCAAGAGAAGAATGAGACAAATCAATTAAGCCTTTCCGAAACGTGGGAGAGCGTAACGAATGAAATGCCTGATTAAAGATGAGAAAAGAAAAAATAGCAACAGCACCAAAAAACCATATCAGATGTTAATTTTCCCCTATCCTTCTTTATAAACAGATCTCATGGAGGACATTTCGACAAAAGTGCTTCCTGTGGAGCCAAATCCAAGCCAAGATAGGGGCCGTTAAGACGAGTTTGGCCTATAAACTGTCACTTCCAGGATTACGTGTGTTTGTTAGCATTATTACCGTTTCTCTGCCACTTACTCTTGATATTAACTATATAAAGTTTTGTGTAGTTTATGGAGGTTTTGAATTTTATTTATTTGGATTGTTGGGTGGTAGGGTTGTGCGTGTCTAGTTTTGTTGATATAAAACGAATTAATTTTTGCGATACGTTCATGCTAACTTCCACAACCAACAACACCAACACTTTATATCGTGCCCTTAGAGAAGTTATTGATAGTCAATATCTGGATGGTGATTAATGCTGGACAATATATCCGTGTATAGGACAGCCAGGAGATGCTAATGATTGTCACGTTAGCTTTTCTGTTTGACTCATACCGTCTCATACTATTATATTTATGGACATTGTACATACCAGTTCCTATTGTACAGGTAAACCATATTAAACGTATGGACTGATCTTAACTTTAATTTATACATATACCATAATAATTCAAACTGGTGGTCTAATACAAAGATTTCTAGTAGCACTACATACCGTTCCTTCCTAATTTATCCTCCAATACTACTGGTTACTGAGATCAAAACCGCCCAGTTGGGAATATTTCTGTAATAAATCTTCTATTATGCATTGATAAATATGAATTGAAGCTCTTCAGACCATGACACACAATATGAACAACTGTCCACTGAGAATGATGACCGGTGGACTGCAGCATTGCGTGTTGCCTATGATGACGCTGTTAATGGCGGAGAAAGCCCAGAACACCATAACATAATATAGACCCTAAACTAGTTGGATCAGGAGCTCTTAGTGAAATTTTAGACTCACATTAATTCATGTAAACACATAATGATTTTCTGGGACGGTACTATCGCTCCAGTGGCTTAGTGGTTAGAGTGTCCACCTCAGATGAGGGAGGTCGTGGGTTCGTTTCCCGCTCGGGTCATACCCAAAACTTACAAAAATGGTAATAACAGCTTCCACGCTTGACGTTCAGCATTAACAGGTTAGTGTTAGGACTGGTCGGCGTGGTGTCTGGCTAATGTGACTGGGTAGGACATCATGCTACATGTCTGCGGCATGATGCCCCAGTGTTAGACAATACTTTAAACTGATGCACTGCAGACAACGTAGCCAAGTAGTAAATTATATCTGGGACGGTGCGTAGGTTATTCCTTGGTTATATGTGAAAATGTGCACCATTTTCATACCCTTCAGTTCGTGAAATATATTATCTTCTTCTATATGAATAATGGTGTAAATAATCAAATCTAATTATGAATCCCTTGATATTCCTTCCTCGGATGAGGATACGTTTGATAGCAAACTGACATGGAGATAGCAGTACACCAGTATGATTTATTTTGTTTTAGTAATTCAATACATTTCATTTTTATATTGATCAGTCGTCACATAGATACTTTTATAGAAATGTATGATAGGTGACAGATATGGATAAATTATAAATTGTGACATATTCATTCTGATGAAGATAAAATTAGACACATGAGTTCCTAATTTACATCATTTGGGTATCCAGAATGAAGAAAAAATACAAATTGATAAGTAGATAGGTTGTTGCATATATAATTATTCCAGCATTTCATTTTAATGATTTAATAATAAAATAAAGACAATTTCGAAAAATCTAAAATTTGCTTTGACTGGAAATCCATTTAGAAGAGGAAATGCATTAACACTGAAGTACGCATGGGCAAACACTAACATGCATCACATGGAGTTGCTGATATTCTAGTCTTCTAAAGGAGCGGATACTAGAGGATAAATATAATTGATAACCGATTTTAGATGGACAGTCTGTCTATTAATTAAACATTGCAAAAACAAGATTAATGACACGTTGCAAGTAATGCTCAACAAGTCCAATCCAATGAAGATATCAATAATTTTTAATTCTAATTACTTTAGATGGACAGTCCATTTATTAATTAGTGGATTAAAAAGATGAGTACTGTGCTTCAAGTGATACTAAACAAGTAAAATCCATTAATGATGTTAAATAATTTTCAACTCTTGAACCAAGCAGTGGAGGAATATATTGCAAAGGTCGAATAGGAAAGGGAAATGAAACGTGAAGAAATAGGCGTTATCTTGAAAGAGCGAAATAAGAAATGACAAAATCAGTCGAAAGATAGATTTGAAGCAAAAAGAAAAAAGGAAAAGCTGTCAAATGCACTCTGGCAGTTCTCACTCTGGCAGTTCTCTATAGATGAACTAACAGAGTTGAATAATGAAACACCATCAGAAGAAAAGTTTTAGAGTGACAAACCCGTAATGTGCTTGTATAACGTGGTCGTAAAGAAACGAAGTGATTACGTTATAATTAAAATAATAAAATAAAATGTTCAAGAGCGTATCTAATCCCATATTTTATATGCACGCTACAGTCCTCAAAGATTAGTCTGTCTGCAATTATCAGTATTATTCTTATGAGGAATGTGGAGGGAATATGCTACAAGTTAAAGATACAAAAATATATTTCTTGTTTGCTTATGCTTTCACTGAGATGGAATGAAAAGTTACAGTTCAGAAATTAATATACATGGAATTGAGATTCGTACGGTATTGAGATTCGTATAAATAAAGTGTTTGATACTCATTATCATAATTGGTTCAAAATTGGGAAACAAAAGACGGAAAAAGCAGTTCTTTTTAAACATAATAAAGATCAAGATGTAAGTAGTTGTCATATACCTCCTGGGACAGTTAATATTATTTCAACTATTTCTATAAATCTTTTCTTTTACGCTGTAAATGGTTGTTATCAGGCAGGATATCATGGTAAATCCTCGTCCGAGTCAAAGCACAATACGGGTATGTTGTTTATAAATTTTCTTCAGAGGTCAACCATCGGTCTGGCCAATTGATTGGATCTGTGCCTACAAATGTTGTTTATTTATGATACTATAATCCGTCTCTCTCTCGAATACGGTTTCATCGGAATAATCGTATAGAGAATTTACATAACCTCAGAGGTGAAGAATTAGCTCTGAGGGTGTATGTTTGTACAGGTCGTGAGCGGGCAACTAAATGTCGTAGGCAAAGCTTCGTCTTCGGAAGTCCGTTCAGTTGAGAGCGTTAATACAACAAAATAACCGAAGAAATAAAGAAAAATAAATGAAACAGACCAAAAACAAACCCCAAAGACATAAAAATCTAAATAAACAAAAAATACTAGGCAAAAGGGATTTCCATTGCTTGCAATCTGAATGAAGAATTTGAATGCTTTGTATTTCAATTGCCTGTAATGCCAAGGCAAGTGTTGAGATTGCTTACATTGGAATACTCGAATTCTAAAAAAAATGTTTACTTCGATGTGTTGCACTTACATCTTATTGCATTTCATTTTCTCGAGATAATGCTGATATAATTTTCTTTATGACACTTGCCAGTGGAACTAATTCAACAGTATCGCTATCGCTACCGGACCTGTGCGGCCGGTAAATAGGCCATGGATTTTTCAATGGCTTGTTGGTGTAATTTTATATCACGATATTGCTGGTATATATGTGCCCTCTTCCAGTTGTCAGCTTATCATTTAAAAATCGTGTACTTATTTCATCATAAATACATTTATTTCTAGAATTAGTCACCAAAAGTGTACGTGCGTGCCCAGGTGATGCCGTTTAGCAGTATGTCCTAAAATATATATAGGATATTCTATATACATAAACAATGCTACAGGCTTCTGATGATGTTATATATACTATTTTACGCTATACGAGGTTAAGAAGGCTGATCCGAATAAATTGACCATCCCAGGAATTATTTGTATCAGGTAATTAATAATATAGATAATTACAATCATCAGTTTGACTGTCAGCGTTGTGTTCAACGTCATCCCGTCCAGGCGGAGGGCAAACTCGTACACGTTCAAAGATTCCTTGTGAGACAACGAACATTGGTCTCTCGCCGTAACCATTACACATATGTAGACTTTTTTCTCGATTTAGAAAAGGCCTCACCTATAACATGAAGGTAAGCAATCTGGGTCTACAAGGCCGTCATTTCGACTAAACTTTTAAACAGAGGTATACGAAAAGGACATTCATGATCCCCATGGTAGAATTTTATCGGCAACGTTTTAGAACATCAAAATTAATAGCATTAACAAGTGTTTAGCTTCTGGTTTGGATTGCTTTCCACTAAGATTATTTGCTAATATGTCTATCAAATACACACCAATAATGAGGCAAATTCTTTAGTTTGCTGTGATTGTTTAATGGACGCAATACCATCAATTGAAAGTTACATTCTTACTTTAATATATAATATCGCTGATTCAACTATCAAAGCAACGAAGAGTCATCGTCCATTAGCTCGTAGTTGAAAGATAAATTGTTGATAGTTTATAATGGCTTGATTTCTTGAGTGCTTCAAACACAGTTTGGAAATTGATAAAATATTGTGCAAATAAATTAAAATAAAAAATATGATTATCAAAACAAAGAACGGAATCATTGTCATCAATTTCTGTTAAATTTGGGGACCTCTACAAACATACACAATTAGAGCTAATCCTCTGAGTCTATGTAAATTCTCAATCTGATTATTCCGATGAATCCGTATTCGTGAGATAGACGGATTATGATATCATAAATAAACAACATTAGCGAGTACAAACCCAATCAAATGGCCATAGCTGGGGTTGACCTCGGAAGAAAATTTATAAACAATATAAGCGAGGATTTACCAGGATATCCCACCTGATAACAATCATTATTAGAGCGTAAAAGACAAGATTTACAGAAATCGTTGAAGTAATATTAACTATCCAATGAGGTTTATGAAGACCACCATCATCTTGATCTTTCTTATGTTTAAAAAAAACTGTTTAACCTTCTTTTGATTTTTGTTTCTGAACCAGTTATGACAATAGGTATAAAACATGTTATTTATACGAATCTCATTTCTAACTATATTAATTTCTGAACTGTAACTATCCCTTCGATTGCAGTGAAAGCATAAGCGAGCATGAAATATCTATTTGGATCCTGAACTTGTAGCATATCTCCTCCACATGCATGATAAAATTAATAGTGATTATTACGAACAGACTCATCTTTGAGGACGGTAGCGTGCATTTCAAATATAGGATCAGATAGTCTCCTGTACATTTTATTATATTTTTTACTTTCTAAATTATTTCAAACTAGGCCACTTTATTACGTTATTGATAATAATAATAGCATTCCTGTCGAATTGTTATTGGGAAGTTGTTACGACTAAACCTTAACTACTACTGATGCCCACAAAGACATAGATCTTCACAGACCTTTCTAGATGTATCCAGTAAACTTTATAACTTTTGTACTATTGTGTGTGATTTTTCAGCAGAAGCAGCATCTATAGATCAGAATTAGATGGAGGAGTAGAGCATTTGGCACTTTGAATAATCTCTTAAATTGCAGACCTCTTTGTAATGTTATAGATATGATACGCTCTTTAAAACGTATTTATAACAGGCATGGCAGGACTAACACGGTAGATGAACTGTATAAAGACTTATGAACGCTTTACATTTTTGCATAAGCTTAATGTATCTCCCTTCTAATCTCTCGGGGAAAAGTATTCTTGAATGGTCGAAGCATCGGACTTATGAAGTGATGCCGTTCCATACAGTAAATGCCTGTTATTTGTCAATCTTTTGAATATCGACATTGTTATATCGAGCAAAGACATAAAGAGGCAAATACATTTAAAGCTTCCATACAACAGCACTGCCACAAAATCAACTGGCAAAATCAATTTATTTGGCTCTTTATATGTTGATGACGTAAAAATTAATCATAGAAAACATTGAATATATGATAAGGTAAAACTGCTTGAAAATATGAATATTATGTTATGATTGTATTATTAATTAGCAAGTAAATTAATTAAACATCGCCAAATGTTTAAATTGCAATGTGTTGAAATGTAGTA